AATTCTAAGGATTATTATGTTGATGAGTGAAATGATACAATAAGTTCCTTTTGCAGAAACACTATGGACTATCTACTCCAAGTTCATAAGAACATTTAAATAGGCTAAAATAACATAACTTCTACTTCTTGACTGTTCTGTCTTTGGATTAGTCATGAGTCACTTAACTGCAGTGGCACATTCAGAAATCAGGATCTGTGAACATTCACAACATTGCACCATCACGCACATTGCCAAAGTTAAGAAACTAACATAGGCTGCATGCATGGAATGGTATTTTAAAATTACTTGTACCCTGTTCAGAAACAAATGTCTTTAGAACGCCATTTAGCTATGAAAATTAGCATGGAATAACATTTCTAGAGCATGAAACAAAGTGAAAGCAAACCCAAGGGCTAACTATTCATGCTCCTTACCAGGGGGTGCTCCAGTACCAAAGACTTTGGGAGGGCTTGGTGCAGACTGGCAGGTTAAAAAAAAAGACTTTATCTCCAAACTTGCACTGCTCTTCATGACAGACATTTCACATATCTCTAAGTTTTAAAAGTTTGATTTTTGAAATATTCTAATTTAAAACAAGGTAGGAAAAAAGCTGTCAAATATTTTCCTTCAACTGGAAATGATTGAACAGATGAAATATTCTTTAAAAATGTTATCAACAGTTGTAATTATCAAAACCTAATGATAATTATTAAAAATAGAAAAGTAGACGAATAGGACAGCTAAGACAAAGAAGAATCAGAAATAACTGCACTTAATCACCTAATGGTAAATAAACCCCAAAACATAAATTACCTAAAACTCCTTCTTTGATAATAACTGCTGGAAAAACTGGAAAATGGTCTCACAGATATTAGGTTTTAGTCTAACATATTATACCAAATTCTAAAATAAATTCAGAAAGGACATGAGATTGAAATATTAAGATTATATTGAAAATCTGAAGAAAAACAGATCATATAACTTTTTGCAGCTATGGAAAGGGGATGAATTCTTAACTAATCAAAAGAAGCAATTATAAATGGTAAAACAAGTTTTATCACATGAAGTTAACAAAGCTTTAGGATAAGAAGGGAAACAGTCAACTACAAAAAAAATTGTTCAAATATCTTTGATAAGGATGATATCCAAGATATATAGATAACTCATAGAAGTGTAACAAAAAGGCATTCCCTAATAAAAATAAAGTGGTAAAAAGTTATGTATAGAGTTTTCAAAAGAATAATTTCAAAATATTTGCTATTAAAAGAATACGTGAAATCACTAATAATAAGAAAAATGCAAATCAAAACAACTTAGAGATTTTGCTGCACACCCTGCAAAATTATTGAAGATCATAAAACAAAGGAATGGTCAATGTTGAAGGGACTGTGAAAAGATGGCACATACTAATGCATTGTTAGTGGAGCTGTGAATTGGCACAACCACTCTGGAAAGAAATTTGAAATTATGGAAGTAAAGTGACTTATATGTCCAAACATTTTGTCCCAGAAATTTGATCCCCTGCTAGGAATATGCCCAAAGAAGGTCACTGACAGAAAGGCAACATATACACCAAAATATTTATAGTAATTCTTTCTATGGCAACAAAATACTGGAAACAAAGTAGATACCCACTGACTGAGGAATGGCTAAAGAAATTGTGATATGTGAATGCGATGGAATGTTGCTGTGCTGTAAGAAACAATAAATATGATACAGAGAAGTGTAGAAAGACTTCCATGAACTGATTCAGAAAGAAGCAGAAAACAATATAAACAATTATTATAACAATGTAAATAGAAAGAATGACATCTACAATCATCAAAACTGAATATTGTGAAATTATAAAGAAGCTTGGCTCCAAAGAACAGATATGAATATAGGTAGCTACTTTTTCTTCTTTGCAGAGATCAGGGTTTATCAATATGGAATATTGCTTGTAACTGCAGATATTTTTAATGTATTGATTTGGTTTGGGTGAATTTTTTTTCTCCTTTTCCTTTCTGTTTTTAAAATAAATTCCTTGTTATAAAAGATGACTCTGTTGGTGGGGAAGGAAGGGAGATATAGAAGGAAATCTAACTGATATAAAAAACAAATGATATCAATAAAATAATCAACTTTTAAAAACCCCACCACAAACAGCCACACACTTCAAGGAATACGGTTTGTTAACATGGAAGAATATTTTTTATCCCAGAACTGAAAAAGATTATACACAATCAGAAATAAGGTTTTAGAAGCAACATTTCAATTAAAGCTATAACACACAAAGACTAATAGAAGTACTGAATACTTTTAATTTGATCTCTGAACCCTCTATGGGACAATGGCTCAAAGTTTCAGACTACAAATCAACTACATAATGACTCTAAAATACCTGAATCTTCCAGATATCTTCCATGGAAACTGGACAATGAATAACTTATAAACTGCTGTAAACACTGGAAAATTGTGACTGACCATGCATTTTAAGGTCACTACTTTTAATAGAACTGTTGGTTGTCAACTTAAGAATTTCATCATAATAGCATCACAGTGGAAAATTGTTTTGGTATCATTTTATATTATCTTTAATAGTAAGTCTTAGCAGTCAGATTGGGAACCTAATTAAGTAATCAGACACAGATTTCCTGTATGAAAATAATACTTCCTCCTCTTAAAAGTGGCCACCTATTGGGTTTGTAAATTAGCTGTGTTTAAGAAAAGGCAAACAATCTGTTTGGAACAGGCTGTATGTTATCCCTACTCAGCAATCCAAACAACACACTGTAGTGTTTAATTATAGAAGTGTAACAGAGCTCAATATGAGTTTTCAAATAATGGGCTCTTTTTGTTTACTAACCGTATAGACTTAAATATGAATCGATGATAAGTCTATTTAATGGAAAGGAATTGTTTAGTATCTTATTGGACATCTGCTAAAAGAATTAAAATCATCTATCTTTTTAAATGAATTTAGTTTTTAAATTCTCTGATAAATACAACAAACCTGGCTTCAATAACTATTAAATATAATTCCAACAAAAATGACAGAAAGATGCAGTAACATCTAAAGTTCTATATTCATTAATTACATATCTACTATGCTAATAATAATTCATTCAAGATGCAAAAATCTTCGAACATTTTATAGGGAATTTTTATGTTCCATGTTAGCTTGTTAAACAACTTTATAAAAATACAGAGCCTGACAATGTTATTTTTCCCCACACTGAGCCATCTAATAAAATGAGTCACTTGAAACTCACTATTCTCTCCCCTGCTGGTTGTGCTTCTCACAGAGGTTAAACAATTGTTTGTTTGTTTGTTTTTATGAACTAAGATTTACTTCTCTGAGATGAGGCACTAAATAAAACATATCAGGCTTATTTCCATTAATATTTAGCTATTAAATATTCTTGTGTCTTCCTTTTATTTAGGGCCTGATTACAAAATGCATAGTAAAAGGAATTTAATTTATTTTCTCCATCAATTTAGTGAACAAAACACAGATAGTTTCTTTAAGAAATATAGAAATTGCTATCATACAGCATAGATTAATGTTCTATCTCCAGAATAATTTTCCCACCTAGAAATGCTCATGTTAAGTATTTCAAACAAAGTGGGGTTTTGTGTATACATGCATAAAATAAAAAGTTTACACCCTGTTCTATCATTATTTCTTTTCATTTTCATTTTCTTTTTCTTTTTTTTTTTTGGAAGGTGGAGGGATAGGACAAGCTTTAAGACTTTACAGAAAACAAGTCAAGTTGGCTCCTTCCAAAGTCCAACTCTTCATGGGGAAACTGAGGTCTAGAAAGGACAAATTGTTTTCCCAAGGTCACAAAGGGCAAAAAGAGACCTAAAAACCATGTTGCCCGACTCCTAGTTCAGTACTCTTTGTTGTATACTATATTGAGTTACTCTACAAAGCCCTCACTTGAGTAAATCAAGGCCAAGCCATCACAGCTCCTGGAAATTCTTCCATTGAAGTGGCTCTGATGCCACGGTAATTTATTTCCAATATCCAGCTGGTTTTCTCTAGGGTCAAATTCACAGGGGATAAAGAATCTAATGATGTTTTCTTCCTTAAATTCACAGCAGAGGACTGCTAGATGTATGCTTCCAATAGCAAAAGAATCCACAATGAGGAAAAGCATCTTCGAAATTAGTTGCCAATGGCAACTTCAAGCAATATTTTTAAGTATTTTTACAGAATAAGGAGACACAACTAAGACAGGCAAGATTCTACATTTTTTTCACTATCACATAGCTAGAGAATCGCTCTGGGCACAAGTGCTTAATAAACATCTACTTCAATAATTAAATGTTTCTCATTATGGCACCAAAAACCTGGAAACTAAAGAGATACTCATTGATTGGGGAATGGCTGGACAAATTATGGTGTAGAAAGATGATGGAATACTATTGACTGAGCTCCAAGACAATAAATGAAAAAAAAACAGACAGTTTCAAAAGGACATGGAAAGACTTTTATGAACTGATGTTGAGGGAAGTGAGCAGAACCAGAAGAACAATTTTAAACCATGACATCAGTATTATAAAAATGAACAATTCTAAATACTTCTGTATACTGATAAAGAATGAAAAGAGCAGAACCAGGACTACAATTTACATAATAACAGCAATACTATAAATATAAACAAATATGAAACAAATAAATATAAACAAATATGATCAATACAACGACCATCCATGATTCTAGAGGACCAATAATGAAACCATGTTATCTACCTCCTCACAGAGGGGTGACAGATTTAGGGTGCAGAATGAGATATTTTTTTTAACCTTGTCAATAAGAGAATTGTTTTCCTTAGCTATGCATATGTATTAATAGGAATCCATTTTTAAATTTTTTTAATAAGGCCAGAATTAGGAGAGAAAATCGATTCTGCCTGTTTAAAAAAAAATAACAACACCACGAAATTTTAAAAGTACAAAAATACCTAACTGAGTTATTGTCATAGTAATTCACAGTCATCATAGCTGTTAACCATTTTGTGGATAATACATACCTCCTTGGCCATGTCTGTATATTTCTGTTTTTCCTTTGGGTCTAGAACTGCCCACCAATCAGCCAGTATCTTGGTAGCACCACGGTTATCCAGCCGGGGGTGTTCCTGACGAACGAGGGAGCGATGGCGTTTACAAAATAAAAGAAATGCATTCATTGGTCTCCGAGCTCGTTGCTCTGAAGATTCATCATCTTCAGTCTCATCTACATCATGCTCTAGGCCATCAGCTCCAAGAAGTTGGACCTATTAGCACAAAAAATGAAAAAGATTATTTAGAGACTCTTCCTTTTTACCAAACAGCAAAGTTAAAAATAAAGTGTAATAACTAAAGGACTGAAGTGTTGTAACATATTAAAAACACTAGTAGAGGAACCATAGATTTCTTAGATCTATTAAACAATTTTGACACAAATAGTCACACTGGCCCAGGGAATTGATTACCATTTTATCCCATGGGCATTGTATATTTTCAGATACTATAGTAACAACCATATACTTTTTTAAAAATTAGTAATAGCAATATTTTAATTAACACTTAACATCTGTGAAAATGTCAGTGTTTAAATATTAAAAAGCAAACATAGATTATGATTTTTTTTCCTCCAGGTATCAATAGAGGAATTACCCAGAAATTGGTGCTCAGACAATCTACCATTTAGAAAATGAAGAGAATGGTATAATTTAATCTTCAAGTTCACAAAAAGCTAAAATCTTCGGAGTGGTAAAGAAAGGTAATGTGACAGTGGAAGGTACACTAGATCAGAGTAAATTAAATCTATGCTCCTGGTCTTGATCCTTTGAAATAAAAAAATCTGATGGGGCAACTAGGTGGCACAGTGCATAGAGCACAGGCTCTGGATTCAGGAGGACCTGAGTTCAAATCCAGCCTCAGACACATAATACTTACTAGCTGCATGACCCTGGGCAAGTCACTTAACTCCACTGCCTAGCTAAAAAGAAAAAAAAGAAAAAAGAAAAAAAAAAAGAAAAAGAAAAAAAAAGGAAAAAAAATCTGATGGTGTCATATAGGCTCAAAGTCATTAAGTCTCTTACCTATTAACCTTCATATTCAGTCAGTCATAATTCACACTCATACCTTCCTTTTTTTCTATTCTCATTGCCACTAGTCAAGTTTTTGAGCCCTTTATTATCTATCATTTAGACTGGTGAAATAGCCTTCTAATCAACTTCTTTCAGTTCAGTTGTTCCCATCTCCTGAAAACAGCTCTGATACTGTCACTGCAAAGGTCCAAAACCCTTGATGGCTGAATATTATGGCCTAGAGAGTTTAAAAAAAAAACAAAAAACACCACCACTAGCCTGACCTTGAAAATTCTCAATAATCTCTTCAGAGTCATACACACAAAAATTATTTATAGTAAATCTTTTTTTGTGGAAAAGAATTAGAAATTGAGGGGTTACCTATCCATTGGAGAATGGCAGAACAAGATATGGTATAAGAATATGATAGAATACTACTGTGCTATAAGAAATGAAGAAGATAGTGTTTGAGAAACCAGCAAAGAGTGTATAAAGTGAAATGAGCAGAACCAGCAGAACAATTTCTAAAATAATAATGATATAAAGACAAACAAATCTGAAAGACTTAAGAACTCTGATCAACACAATGATCAACCAGAAACCCATGGCACTCGTGCTGTTGGTGGTGGTTTTTGAGTTATGTCTGACTCTTCATGACCCCTTTTTGGGGTTTTCTTGGCAAAGATATTGGGGTGGTTTGCCATCTCCTTCAGCTCATTTTGCAGATGAGGAAACTGATAGAGTTAAGTGACTTACTCAGGGTCACACAGCTAGTAAGTATCTAAGGTCAGATTTGAACTCAGGGAGATGAGTCTTCATGACTCTGAGGCCCACACTCATTCTGCTGTACCATCTAACTGTCCATGACTCATGAGAACATGCTAACTACTTCTACATGGAGAAGTGATGGACTCAGTACAGACTGAAATATATTTTGGGGGGATATGGCTGATGAGGAGAATTTTTTTGTTTGTCTAAATTTTTATAACAAGTTCCCTCTCCCCTTGTTTTCTCAATGGGTGGCAAGAGGAAGAGAATTCAGAACTGAAAATAAAATAACAATAAACAAAAAAATTTACTTCCAATTTTCCTTTCCAGTTTTACATATAACTATTCTCCCTTGTGAACCTTCTACTCTAACCAAATTAGTTTACTTCATAACCCTTGAACATCATTTTATGCTCATGCTTCTCTGTTTATTTATGCCATTTTAAAAAAATCTAAAATGCCCTTTCCCATCTCTGACTTCCAAAGTCTTTCCCTTTCTTCAAAGTTTTTCTCAGATTCTACCTCCTTTGTGAAACCTTCTATAACCACTAGAGTCAGATAGATCAAATAATGGATCTGCAGTCAGGAGTTCCAGCAAATCCTGACTCTGATATTAGATTGATACCTTGAGCAAGTCACTTCATCTCCTGGGCCTCAGGCTGAAGTAGATGGTCTCTCAGGTCCCTTCTCGTTCTAGACCTATGATCCTGTGCACCAAAATTCCCTCTCCTTTTGACTATCCACAAATATTTACCTTTCAAATAAATTCACCTCATTTATATACTGTCTGATATTATAATTATTTGTGTACATGACTGGTCCTCCCAAAGAGGTCGGATGATTCTGTAGGGCTGAGAACCCATCTTATATTTCCTTTTAATAAAGCCAGCATCAAGCATAATGTCTCACGTACAACAGGGACCCAATATAGTTGCTGAATGAATGAAATTTGTTAAAGACTTCACAAAGGCTATGTGAGAGAGAAGAAAAGTACTAAATTAAGTTTAAATTTAAGAAAACATAAAGAAATACATTCATCAAGGATAAAAAAGTCAAACTATAATTGTAATGGGCTTTAAGATATCAGTTATGAACCATAAAAGGGATTTAGGAGTCCTTCCTTGAAAGCACGAACCCACTATCCTTCTCAAAGGGCCTACAGAATGTCCAAAATTATTAGGAAATATATAAAAAATAAAACAAAAATCTTAATCTTGAATAAAATCACGGCATACTTGGAATGTAGCACTTTGGAAAAAAAAAAGACAAAGTCGGAAGGAATCCAAAGGAAAACAATTAAGGAGATGGAAGATCCTTTAGAATACAGAAGAGAAAAAAATGCTGGACTTCTGTCTACAAAGAAGCAAGCTGAGAGTACATGATTAAATATGACGAAGAATTTTTCAATTATGAAAGAGTGAAAACATCTTCACCAAATCACAGAATTTCAGAACTGAACAGGGAGGGGCAAGCCTACAAAAATTAAAAGTTGTAATTTTATAACAAGTAAAATGACAAGTTATTGGATATGGCAAATAATAAATCTAAGGATCTAATTTGTTACTCTTAAGAGTTGGTATAAGGTAAACATGAAAATTATTTTCAGAAAGGTTAGTTCATAGGAAAACAGGTCTATAAATGAGTTGTTAAAAGAAACTTTGAGGGGCAGCTAGACGGTACAATGAATAGAGCACTGGCCCTGGAGTCAAGAGGACCTGAGTTCAAATAAAGCCTCAGATACTTGATACTAGCTGTGTGACCCTGGGCAAGTCACTTAACCCCAACTGCCCCACCAAAAAATAAATAAATAAATTTTTTTAAAAAAGAAAGAAATTTTGGCATATATCTATAACTCCTAATATTCTTATATAGGAACATAATCATGCTCATTCACATAATATTCCTCAATGCCACTGTTGAATAGACTGTTGTCTTAATTAATCTAGGATGGCATGTATTATGTTCTTATGTTTAAAACACAATTTCAAATATACCATATTTCTACATTTACTTAGCTGCCAAATATGCATAGAGCACTCTGCATACTGAGTCAATAACTAGAATTTCATTGAATATACATGTAACTAGGCTTCTATACAGCCCAGAGCAGTTAGCGTATACTACTGGTATAAGGAAAGGAAATGTGACTAATTGGTGGAGAGAGTCCTGAGAAAATGTTGTATCCCTGGGTAAGGGTCAGAGTCGTCATCAAAGGCTTGTCAGGAAAGAGAAATGTGGATAGTATAGTACGTGAACAGTATATTCCAGGGAACAGAGAGGAAAAGACTCTGGAAGGTGCATGTACAGATAGGGAATCCAGCTCTTCAACATGTGTATGATCTCTAGCTTGCTTCCATAAAAACTTCAGAGACAGAATTCTTTGAGTGAGATCAGGCCCTCTTTCTTAGTTTAAGTTTGGGATCTTATCTCACTCTCATCTAAAGAGCACATTCATAGCTGTATATTTTCTGGTATGCTTTATTTATGTAACTTTTCTGATTTCTGTTTTGCTTGGATTTAAATGGGTTTACTCGCTATTTCCTGTTTGTAATAGTTTTTGTGTAAGTTTCACAGTTTGATAGAAAGGAGCTAAGATAGTGAACATAAGATAAGAGCTAGTCTTTGTCTTGAGAAAGACCACAGACATCGTTTGCTTTCTGAATTCCTAAAATTCATAACCATTTATCTGAGATGTTGGACTAGGAACACAGAAATATAATTCTAGTCTCTTGACCATTTAGAGACTACAGAGAAGAGTAAACAGCAAAAGTACTCTTGAGGCTTGCCTGTCTCTTAAGCTCATTTTCTGGTGTTATAGGAAGGTACCCTGGTTCTCTTCCTTTCCACAAATGTAGCCAGATTCCATGCTGCTTACAAGCCACATCTACACATTAAGACAACACAAGGGGACATAGTACCTATGTTACATGAACAAAGGAGCATAAAGCTATAATACAGAAAACTCTCAGGGCCATCTATTTGGTTCTGGAATATATCACAAGTGTTTTTGGACATAGGTTTTCCTCCCCCCATATAAGTATTTTGCTTAGTTGGTTATTAATATTATTTTATTAATATTCCTTCAATATTCTGAAGATGGTTCAGGAGTCGGGTCAAAGCAAGAGTTTATAAATGTGCTGTATAATGGAAAAGTGACTATAAAGTGTTTTTATAATCAACAATAAATTTCTAACACCTTCATTAAATGGCAGAATTACCTTATCAATATCTTCTTCTTCCTCTTCCTCTTCCTCCTCTTCAGAAAAGTCAAGAAGTTTCTTTGCTAGTAATGGATGCCACTGAAGACACTTCCTCTTTGGTCGTTTTCCAGTTCCTTCCCCTTCTGCTGAATGATCCTTATTTCTATTACTGCCTTTCATTACTGTGACCTATAGTAAGGGATTGGGGGGAGGGGGAGAAATCAAAAGAAAATTTGATTAAATTAGTTTAGTCACTTGAACTTTAAGCCAATTAATATTCTAATGCCTAAATAAACTAATCTACCCACTCAGGGATTTATTGGATTAAATAAAACCAAAGGTCACAATAAAACCCATATCTACTCGACCAAATTAAGCTAATACACATTTCCTTTCTAGATTCTACTGGGTAACTTCAGAACTTACTGGCAAACATGATATTTCAAAAATGACAGCAAGGCAAGCTTGCTTTCTGTACATTCACTGATATATACCCACTTTATTAATAAACTAAAGCAACTACCCAATAAATACATGAAATCTGATTTTCATAGCATATTACATTCCTGTGAGCTTGTAGGCTCACAAAATTTATCAGCCCTGAAAAAGAAATTATCCCCAAAGACCTGGCTGCAAGTGAGTCAACATTACAAATAATTTAATAAGGTAATCATAGTTATTGAGAATCTTTGTTATGAATTAATCAAGAATTACTTCCATATAGATTTATTTTAAAAATTACCACCTGAAAATGGGCCAATGGACTCTAAAATGGTGCTAACATCGTTACTTAGAAGGCAAATCATTGCTCCATGTGTTTGTCTGAAAAATATGCTCCATATGCTACTTCTATAGTCCATAACTTCTGCTGAATATCTCTAGCAATGATATAACTGAGGCAGCATTCCATTCTACACAATCTTTCCACACTGACTGCCTATACAAAGGTATCAAATACCCACAAATAAGCATGGATAAAAAAGCAGATTGCTCCTTGATGAAAAAGTTACAAAGTTCAGTGTAATTTTCAAGGATAATCTTTGTTATGTGTTGGACAGTAGAGTTTTAGTTTACACTCCAATTTTCCAAATAAAAATATGCAGACATCTTTTATTTCCACAGATGCCTTTCTTATGTAATTACCCAAAGTCAGATGGGATTTGTTGGGAATTATTGTTATGAGAATAAAACACTGCAAGACTCTTTCTGAAGTATTTATATGCAGATAGGGAAGTATTGTAAGTATGATATCAAGAATCCACTGAAGCACTAGGCTTGGGAAAACACACACTGCACTGGAAGACAATGGGAGAAAATGTTTAAATATATAAAAATCTGCTTTTTACATTTTCAGGAATCTATCCCATCCATGAAGCAATGCTGACATTTTCTTTAATCCATTGATGTTCAGAGTAAATGTATTCTTGGTGTTGTTACCGTTAACTAGAATTGAACGTTGTGATTCCTAGTTTAGCTTTAGAATAAAATTAAACGGTAATATATACTAGGTAAGTTTCCCAAGCTTTCTGCTCTTTTCCTGACCTACTTGTCTCTGTTAGCAGATATACTTTTCACATCCCCAAACTCTCTTTCTTCCCATGTCTGACTAGCTGTTGAATCCTGTTGACTCTCCTTTGGTAGTATTTCTAGTACCTGTCCTTTCTGTTACAGTCCCACTGCTACCTAATTTAAGGTCCTTAGGCATCCTAATTCCTTCAGATTCTCGCCATTATGATCTACTCTATAAACCATTGACAATCAATTTTCCTCAAGCAAAACTCTTATCCTGTTATTTTCCTCCTCAAATATATTTAGTGGACACTGAATAAAATTCAAACTCCTTAGTTTAACATTCAAGATCCTCCATAATTTGGTTCTGACTTCCCTTTTTTCCCTGTCTTATTCTACATTATTTCTCGTTTACATAACATAATTCAGGCACACTGAACTTTCAATACAGAGTTCCAGCAATACATTCTTTTTTTCTCTGACGCTATGCTTTTGTTCACTCCTTGCCCTACGTCTGGAATACCTTTCCATCCAAACATACACATCCCCAATGTCAAAATCCTACTCAACATTACAGGATCTACTTTCTCCATTTGGATATCTACTTTTGGCTTCTGTGATACTAAACTCTCACGTGATACGTGATACAAATTCTGATATGAACTCTGTTCGTCTGCTCTCTTCTGTGTCCTCATACTTTTTCCACTCTTTAACCAGAGGTATCACCTAACGTTCTGTCCTTATTCCACTTCTCTTTTTCCTCTCTCTATCTGGTTATCTCATGAACTCTCATCACTTCAACGGTCATCTCTATGCATAAGATTACCAAATATGCCATGTATTTCCATCTACCAGCTTCCTATACCAATCCGCAAGGCCCAAAGGCAATTTAAGTTCAACATTTCCCATGGCATGCTGCTAGTAATAATAACAGCTAGTATTTATATAGCACCTATTATGTGCCAGGCACTGTGCTAAGCACTTTACAAACATTATCCTCATTTTGCAGTTGAGGAAACTAAGGGAAACAGAAGAAAGGTTTTAAAGTTTGCAAAGCGCTTTAAAAATATTATCTCATTTTATCCTCACAACAGCCCTGGGAGGTAGGTGCTATTATTATCCCCATTTTACAGAAGAAGAAACTGAAGTGGAGAGGTTAAGTGACTTGCCCAATGTCACACAGCTAGTAAGCGTCTGAGGCCAGATTTTACCCATGGCCTTCTTCTCTGTTTTTCTCTTCTCTCTCTCTCTCTCCCTCCCGCCCTCTCTCCATACACAGACACAGACATAGTCACACATAGAGAAAAAGGAGTATTTGAAGATAATTCAGATATAGAAAGGAAAATTAATAATAAAAAAGTTGGAAAGGAGAATGGTATGTGTAAAAGACAAGAGAAAGAAAAGTTTTGAAATCTAACAGTGGATTTATGATAGAAACAACAATATAATTTTGTTATACTTGTCCTACAAAAATGAGATTTTCACATATGATTTTTCACACTTGACAAGTGGCTGATTAAGCTAAGTGTGTAAAGTAAATGAAGTGATCTGTTTCCTTAAATGGGTTGTGTTTCTACCTATACCGTAATTTCACATAGATTAAAAGCTATCTCTGGAGTAATCCTTCCATGATGTGTTATTGATGATCAGTCTACTTTAGCTACTGTGCTTCAGAATTGTATTCTTTAGGCATTCAAATATAAAGATTCACAATTGAGAGTTGTAATCTATCAAACAAATAATGCATTATAAAGTACTTTTTAAGCCCTGATCACTTTGATTACTATTATCAAATTATAGCACCAAGGTTGTTGTCAATTATAATTACTTATCAAATACTTTAAATCTTCTTTATTTCCATGTCCAAAAAATGAGTTCATAACTATCATTTAAAATAAGGTAAATCAGTGTGTTGCAATGCCAACAGCACTGGATTTGGTTTCAAAGAATATCAGCTTAAATTCCTGCTACTTCCTACCTGTGTGTCCATGAGCAACTAAATTCATTTCTCTGAGTCTCAATTTCCTTGTCCATAAAGAGGATTCGATGAGACGGCCTCTGAGCTCTCTTCTAGCTATAAATCTATGATCCTCTATGTGTATTCTCCTATACTATATTAGAAATGAAATATTCATTTTACGGGAATGTATTTGCAAAAGTCAACTTAGTAAATGTGCAATGAATAACAACATTTAATAGTGTTATTCAAATACAATATGCCTACTTTAGGAAGAAAGTGAAAAATGCAACATGTTAAGAAAGAAGAAAAAAAATTAAAGGAAGCATGTTTCCCAAGCAATAACTATTTTCTACCTCAGTACCATATTCTGTCAAAATTATGACATATATGTCTCTAGTGTAACAATGGGCATGATCTTCATGGATGGTTTAGCAAAGTGGATTCTGTAGGTTTTTCTTAACACCAGCACATTCAGGAAAAGCCTCTGAGAAAACTTGGTAAGTTTTTCTTCAGCGCCCCCAAGTTTCCTTTTCTTTGTTTTCTCCTACCTTCTGGTTCCCAGTGCCCTCCCTATCATCAAGATGTTCTCAGGAACTGATATAATATCAGTCATTTACAAATCCCTGTAAATGTAACAAAATGTGTTACTACTCCAATAAGCACCTGCTTATCAACTCCTGGGGAATTTAAGGCATCAATGAAGAGATGAAAAAGGAATTTTTTGGTGGAAGGGAACTCAGACCTCCCAGCACTACCAATTTCCCACCCCACTAACCCCACAAAAAATTACAGGCTGTAACTGCCTAACCTAACAACACTTAAAATAAGCCTCGTATTTAGCTGAGAATGATCCAGTTTAAAAAGTTTTTCTTTTAGGCTGCAGGGAAGGGCCAGATCTACGGTGACTATGGCAACGTAGCATCTTCGACTGTTCATCCTTTGCCACATAAAGTTTCATAGATTTTATGACTTTCCTGGAGTTCAGTACTTTACACTTTGCTTGGTGTTTACTGAACTGATTCAGAAAAAAGAGTCTTCTGGAAACCTTCCCTGATCCTTCCCATCTATGATCAGCCCACTCAGTTTTTGTACCCTACTAGTACTTAGTTTTATAGCACTTGAATATCCTCATCAGATAAATATTGCATAGAACATTTATCTATGACGGTCTTACTTTAGGATCAAATAAGCAACAAATTTAAGGATTCACAATATGCCAGGCACTGTTCTAGGCAGTGGAAATACAGAAATAACCTACTCTTGAGGTGCTTACATTCTAGTGATGAGTTTTCAGTCTAGTAAAGACAAGGGATCATGCCTTACACACTTAATATCTCCCCAGTTCCTTGTACAGCACTTGGCACACAGCAGGAGCTCAGTAATTTTGTTATATTGTATTATATCATTATATCGTATCACACTGGCATGCATTACATCATAATGACATGCAATAGGTAAAAGCATCTCCTAGAACTAATACCTTGGAAAACTTGCCAATAGTATTCATCATTCTAGTCTTACAGAATAAGTCGTTTACAGGACTGTGTCCTGTCACAAGACAACAAAATGGGAACACTGAGACATCTGAAAAATGTGACCCAGAGTGGGAAAGCAAGTACTCTTATCACATGATATATGGCAGCACAATTCAATTAGAATAACTATAGAGCTTGTTGGAGATAAACGCCCTGGCAAGTGCTAAATATTATTACTTATTGTA